TATGTAAGTATGCCGTGTATTTTTACCCGTGGTGAGATATTTTTCATCAATAATAAAAAATAATATTTAGCGTGGTTTCAAACAAACACTACGCTTAACTAGATAGAATTTCACCTTTCTCATAAAACACTGTATATGAGACAGCCTAAATTCATTATAATATATTCAACGATATTTTAGAATTAAATCAAATTAAATTCCCGAATTAGCTTGTATTCTAGAACACAATAGGTAAGTAATAGAATAAAGATTAATACCTATTCCTATTTTTTTTAACACAGCGGTTATAAAGTACTGAAATTAATAACAGCTTATTTAGAAAAATAAGTCTTATGCCTTTGTAAAAAGATACATTTTCACATGTTGCAACGTACAAGTCAATCAAGAAGCTAAAACTCATTAAAAGCGTTACAAAGAGAATAACATACAGGTATATAGACCTTAAATATCCGTTAGCATGAACAAATAAGCGAGGTACGTTCTAGAGGTACGTAACTCACCTATTCCATATGTAACGGAGCTCATGATGTGTGGGTCAATACGAGAACCAGATCAATACAGATCGGATAGTAACGTGATGTATTAAAACTGTATACGTCTATGTAATATATTCCATGTTGTCAAATAAACATTTTTTGTTGTTTAATACTTGAGCGATTGAACTCTAGCATTACCAAGTGAATACCAAAAGCTGTATTTTGAGGTATTACCTGGCTCAACACCTTAGAAAGGTAACACCAAAGGTAAACAGATTGGTTAAAATATGTGGCTTGACCGTTTCGCTACCAGTGAAAAATTTATTCACTGCAATAGTTCTTATAGCAACGATTGTCCAGATGAACATCAATAAACCTACAGCTACTGTCTCCCGCTATTCGCTACCGTCACATGAGCGTAAGGTGAAAATTTTATTTCGCTACCATCACATGGGAGTAAGGTGAAAAAATTATTCACTGATAATATCTTTACTGTTATACAGTATTTCTTGTAGTATCGAAAAGGCCAAGCCACATATTTTGACTAAGGCGTAGAGGTTGTAAAGTTAGGGCTGTTAGTTAGAAGTTTCGCTCTACATCTCGTCTTGGCAACATTTTACATGAAAATGTTTTTGGTGAGATTTTATTTAGACGAAGAGCTCTAAACAGAAATTGATATTTACCGAGTAATTTTAAACAAACAAACGACCGTTATAAATGATTGCTGAAGCTCTTGTATGTCACGATTTCGTTTACTTCTTTGTTTGTAGATTATTTGTTCTAGTATTTTTAAACTGCAAAGTGAAATTGTTTCTTTTCCTTGATTTAAAAATGTAGCTAGTGGAACAATATTGCGGCTGGTGTACTGCGACATAATTATCAGTATTTTCGTAGTAAATCGCATACTTTAACGCAGTTCAACCTGCACGGGCGATATAAAGAAAATATAAAGATTAACATTTATTCTGATATTCATAGGTCACATAAATAATTATTAAAATGAAATATCTCTTCCATATGTCGTTGTGATGTATATAGTGGAGAAATGAGAGTGTTTCGTATTATTCTTTGAATTTTCATATTGCATCAAGACGCATCTTCATCACACATAACTTTTGGTAATCTAATATATACTCATTCTAATATTTTACAAAGTTTAGTACTTCATAATAAATATTGGTTCTCGTCAATTGGACTTTCAGTCAACCCTATATGGCACACATGCATACATTCACGCCCTCCAAAGGATGGGCACATACGTGTTACCTAAACGTAGCCGTTGTTGTGATTTTGTTAACATTAATATCAGATTAACCGGTACAAAACGGAAAGTATTTATAGTCTAGTTGCCTCAAAACTGTTTTTTGTAACATTTTTGTTCAAATGTAATGAAAATCTAATCAGTTATTTCATCATCATCAGCCTATCGCAGTCCACTGCTGTATCAGTTATATAATTATTAAATATCCATTTATAATTAACTTTTTTTAGTCAGATACATTCACTAATCATTCGCATCATTATTTGCGTCTACGAATGGAAATGACTAAAATTATGGCAATTTTCGCAAATGCGAACGTAAGTTATATCACTAGTATGAAATTAACGGCAGCGGCTTCAATCTTTATTCATATTAATATTAAAGTCGAATATGTGGGAGTGGAGTTGACCTATTCATAAGAAAAATATAATTTGAATTAATATTAAAAACATACCCCCAGGCGATCTCTACTTCTAATTATTCATTCAAACCCTGTATTTATATAGCATAGAAAAACCCTTATATTAGATAAGTACCTAATTGAAATTGTGTTTGTTTTTCTAATATGTAGTCATAAAAATGTTAGGGGTTCGTATCCTCGGGCACGCCGTCATTGCGGCGGTAAGACCCGTTATGGAGGATTGGCTCGAGAGGCGTCACGGGTCCACGCTCTCATACCGATTGACGCAGGTGATCACTGGGAAGGGATGTTTCGGAGATCACCTGTGTCTGATCCGCAAGGAGCCAACGCCTGAGTGCCACCACTGCGATGGCCAGACCGTGGACACGGCTCTCCACACGCTGGCAGAGTGCCCGGCGTGGGTTGAGCAGAGGCGAGACCTCGTGGCGGCCATCGGAGTGGGAGTTCTCTCGCTCGATAGCCTGATTGCGGCTATCGTGCGGAGCGAGAGTGCGTGGAACTATGCCGTCTCCTTCTGCGAGCAAGTTATGCTCGTGAAGGAGACGGCGGAGCGGGACCGGGAGAGGTTTAGAACTCTCCCGGCCCGCCAGGCCCGGGCACGGGCCAGGCAGCGCAGGCGACTCAGGCGCCGGAGGTCGCAGAACGACCTCCGTCCTCCATAAGCGCAGGCCTGGGGGTGACAGGTGAGGCCATCTGTCACCCTAGCAGAAGCAGGCCGGGGTGGTGGCGAGCGCGTTGCGAAGCGCGCTCGCTTCCACAACATGGGGTGCCCACACGGGGCGGGGGTCGTCTACTCGTCTGTAGATGACCCGAGGTATGTCGGGGCACCAGGGACTTCCTTTCTAGGGTATACCTGGTTCCCCGGCGATTAGTACCCGGCGAAGGCGTGCGGTTTTAGTCGGTTCGAGTCCGACATGCCACCGACAGGTGGTATCCGAGGGGATTTCCGCACGGAAAAAAAAAAAAAAAAAAAAAAAAGGGGTTCGTATCCTACATATTTCTTTTTTGACCGAAGCTTCTAATGGATGCTGATGAGTTTATAAGTGTATTTTACTTTATAATTGTATACGTCTATTGTGAACTGAAAACTAAAATGTATTACAGAACTAAGCTAAATTAATTCTTAGATGTAGGCACATCTAAACTATTTACGTATATATTTATTTAAATTCCAGTACCACCGCGTAGCCGTGCGTCTGAGATATTTCTCTTCCCAATTGCTATTTCAATTTACGTACATACTCGTATATATATGTCGATGATATGAATAGTTGAGTGACCAGTGTGTACATTCTCAGAATAACCCAGTGACGGCAATGCGTATGACTTGGAAAATGCCTAAATCGACAAAAAAATCACATTACACAATTAGCTCAGTCTTAAAATTAGATTACCGGATGCTGTGACTCGTTAGGTAAGGACGAAAAATGAAAACTGTCTTGATAAATATGTCTGCTTAAATTTAAATTAATGAGTATGTGTAAATGCATAGAGAGGGAGAGCTTCTAACTTTGAAATTGTAATAAGTTGCTTAAAAAGTTACGTCTATTCTATAAACATAGATAATATTACTAAATTATATGTGGTATAATGATATTTAAGCGACCAAAACCCCAAACCAAATCACCAAGGCGTAGGATTTGCGATCAAATAGTTGCAGATTGGGTACTATTTGATAGCAAGTCTTCTGACATGTACCTACTTTCAACACAAGCATTATCTTCGAAAAATACTAGAACTATAAATACATAACTGAATTTAAACAATACTCGTATAATAGGAGGCCAGAATCAACAAATTCTGTCTCGAGCTAGCCATTTGTGTAAAGTCTAATGTCACGTACCTATGCTTAAGTTTATGATTTTGCGCTTTCGCACCTATCTACAGTAGTAGGCTTTTAATTAAAACGCCTGCGATATCTGCTATTACCATACACACCAGATCTCAAGATTTAAGTTTGGGAAGAACGAACTTATTGTTCGTCAGACTGAGTTTACAACTGATGTATAGTGAATCTCGGCAAGTGATATATTTCGTTGATAATATGTGGTTTTGAAATATCTGTCAGAAGGTATCACTTAGTATTTATGTAGTAAAAATGTTAAACCTTTACTTTGATTTTAGTTATAAAAACTGTGAATACATACTAATGTATGTTTAGGTTAAATAACAAGACATTGCCGTTAGCGTTACTACTTGCGCCCACTTTAACTAAGATCGACCATTAACATAGTTCCTCGGCTTCCTCGGAGTAGAGTGCCTTGGAAACATTACATCGTGAAAATATGCTGCAAACCTTTATGAAAAATTAAATCAATGTTTGACAAATTGAAGGAGCAACACGGGAGAGAAGGATAACTTAAGTTATCAATTATAAAGGAGCACAATTGAAAACCCGATAGTAGGTTATATTATAGAATTAGCTCCCATTAAACCAATCTGTGGCACAAATTGTGTGCCATTGCTGGACCGAAACAACCTCTAAACCTTTAAGAAATGAGTGAATGAGTGACCTACTCCCACCTTAAGTGCCGTAAGCCAGCCGTGAAGGTCGGCTACGTGTTTGTGACTCCTCAGTTTCAAGCAACCATGGGCGGCGGTAGTCACTTTCCATCAGATTTTAAAAAGCATATCCATAATACCTACTAAACTATAAGTCGCTATCTTTTCACCTTTTCTTGTTGGACTCGTAATGAACATTATTTTAACGGAGATCTCTTGTACTTAGAAATGTTTCATATAAATAGCCTGATAACTTATTGCACAGCACCTTTGCGACATACGGAGTTCAATATTAATTTAAACACTATTGTGCCTAAATGTAAATTGTTAACTTTGGCAGGTGATTGTGGCAGCTGGTGAATACACAACTGGAAGCGCTTGGCTTTCGGAGGAGAAACTTCTGGAACAAGCTCGCGATATGTGGAAAAGACTTAGCGACGAACAAAAAGGTGCATATGGTGAAGATTACTTCGAAGAAGCTCTGAGAAGCCTCGAAAAATATACCAAAAGTGCGGTATGTATTAACAATCTTCTGAATTCTCGTCACACTCGTATATACATACTCGTATAACGGACTTAGATTATGCTATGTTACTATATCTTGATCCTTAAGAAATCTCCAAGGGGTTTTTTTTTGAGTTAGTTAACTACTGTTGAAATCCAATTGACAATATTAACTAATTAAATTATTTAAAACAACAAGCCAAGTTTTAATGAAACAAGCAACCTATTTATAAAATAATAGCTGCGCTTTCCTGAACCGTTATTTATTGGTTCCGTGTAATTCTAAGTTCCACCAAACAAAATGTTAAAGCCCTTAAAATTTCACACACAGCTTTCTACAGAAAAAATATACAAATCATTATATAACGAAGATTCAATGTATATATAACTAAACCGCCGTAGTAAAAGTGATACAAAAGTAGCTAAGTAAAGACGTGACTACGCCTAATTTGTGCTCCTTTGTTGCTAGTCTTATATCTTAAAAGTATACGACAATATATGTATTTCGTCGTTTCAATACTTTACGCTTAATTTAACTTAGGTATGTACACGTAATATATTCTATTAGACGATGAGTTTTTGTCGATAGGTTTCGAATATATCAATACATGTTAAATACTGATATAGGTTTTATTTATAATTATTTTATTTCAGATCAAAACATGTAAGAAATAATCTATGTAACATTGCAAAAATGTATAAAATCTTTTCTGAGTCCGTACGTAGTTTGGTTCGATCGCCGGCACGAGTTGTTTCGTCTAAGCTTTTATTGATATTGTTTGAGATAATAATAATAGTAATAACTTGTCACGTTTCAAACACGGCTCTCTGGTCCTACACTAGACAAACCTATGGTAACCAGACTGCTGATAAGATATACTTATATATTTTTAAATACATACTTATTATAGATATTTTTTTATTTATTTATACATCTTTATTATACACCTGCTGACGACCGTACAGGTAGCTATGAAACCAGTCAATTACAGATGGAAATATGTTAAAAGAGCGCAATATTCTTAGCAAGACATCAATTTCAACGGTGTTGAAAGCGTTACTGAAATCAAGGAGAGCAAGGACCGTCAACTCTCCTTCCTCCATGTTGGACCTGATATCCTCCATAATATGATTGAGAGCTTTGGTAGTACTGTGGCCATGACCACAACCCGTTTGGAAAAGATTTAGGAGACAATTTTCAGAAAGAAAAGAGCTTAGCTGTGTGTGGATAAGACGTTCAAGTACTTTAGATAAAAAGGGAAGAATGGATATTAGACTATAGTCTGAGAGCGGAGGAGATTTTTTAGGGAGAGGAGTGATTTGAGCCATTTTTCACGCTGATGAAAAAATACTATAGGATACGGAATAATTAAGAATATGGCACAGGTAAGATTTCATCTAGGACAGGAAGTACCATATTACGGCTGATGTTGTCTGTTCCTACTGCGTTAGAAGTTATAGATACTACGCTCTTCTTGACTTCACAAGCAGAGAATGGACTGAAAACAAACGAAGGACAGTTAGGAGTTGGCAGAGATGAAAGATAGTTTAGCGTAGTAGTTTTAGTAGTTCTCCAAAATTAACGGATGCAGAAAAATATGTATTTAAGGAATTGATTTCAACATTTTTTGAGCGTGATTTGCCGACCCCCGATGTCTTGAGAAATTTCCAGACTTTAACTGGTTCACCGTTTTCAATAGATTTATGAATGTTGGGCGGCGTTGAGCATTCCTACACACCTTATCGCAGTGATTTCTAATATGGAAAAAAATATCTCAGTTTGAGGTACTAGAGTGACGTTCTTTCTCTGTAATTAAGTCAACCAAGGGGCGGGCAGATGCCTTACCTTAATTAAACGAATTGATGCATGTTTGTCATATAAGGCAATTACTCTTTTGAAAAATAGGATTTGAATAACTTTTTCATCAATGCATTGCGTGTTCAACAGCATACTCCAATCAATGCCGTCGGCATCTCTGCAACGATCATCGAGATTCACACCACGAAAATTGCGTTTAGGAGTACGAATTTGATAGGACAGACAGATGAGGTCGTGATAGGAGAAGGAATCAGCAGAGCACTGACCATGTTCAGCCACATGCTCTGCTGAAGAGACAGTAATGAGATCAAGGAGAGAAGAGTTGCGGTTTGCCATATTATGTGTGGGACTCAGTGATAGCATAAAAAGACTGTTAGAATCCATGACAGATCGAAAAAAGCAAAGCATTCTTAAGCAAACATGTGTTAAAGTCACCCATGACTAGGTTATGATTGTACGGAGGTGTTAAATTCTCTAAGATTATTTCAAGTAAACAGAAATAATCTACTCGCAAGGAGGGACTATAATAGATACCGAGAAGTATTTTTGAGTGTTGAAGTACGACTTCTATGAAAATATGGTCGCCAGCATTTGCAGGAGGTGGTTGAGATGACATACTCGTACTAACAACGGAGAAGGGAATGAGAGTACGGATATATATGGCAACACCACCACCGCGACCACACACACGATCATTCCGTCCCAACTGAAAGCCGGGTAACGAGTATGTTGTGGTAGATAAGCATGGCTTTAGCCAAGATTCCGATACGAGGATAGCTTATATGTTCGTACAGTTTAAGCTAGTTAGCATATCACTGAAATGTGCCGGAATGCTTTGGATATTTATATGAACGACATTGAAGCTCCTGGGTACATCAGAGAACTGAGCCGAGATTGTATCCGCAAGCGAAGGAATACTTATGAAACTGGTGTCACTACTAGATACCGAAAAACAATCTTCAGTATAACTGTTCCCGTTAGATGAAGTCATTGGTGCAGCTTGCAAAAGTAAATATATCTCTTGTTTAAATGTATAAATGAAGAATATATATATGTATATATATAATTGCAACGTAAATTTATTATAAATATGACATAACAAATATAAAAAATACAGTATAATACATTTAAAAGTCTACTTTAACTCCTCCAATCATTTATCCGCCTGCCGGTTGTATGTCAAAAAAGTACATGTAAAATAAAGAAAAATTACAAATTAAATTACACCTAGTCACAGAACAAATGATGGTGCTGATCACACAATTATTTATCCTGGGTGGGAATCGAACCCACGATCTCTGGCTTAATAGTCAGAGTCACTAACTACTAGACCAACAGTCCAGTTGGAGTGAAGCTAAGTGTTAAAATTAAACTTGAACTTAATGCTGCGATCTAGTACGTGTCTTTCTTATAGATCACCCGCCTGTTAGGGTTCACCCTAAACCAATAACCAGCAAAACTAGTTTGTAACCGGACGTACAGAACAAGAATCAATACTATTTTTTTTTAAGTTGGACGGGGTTCTAACTATACTAACAAAGAGCACTAAAAACCCAGCAGCAATTGCGGTTGATTTGCTGTTTTTTTACGAAAAGTTCCGTTGTCTGTCTTCGAAACTCATCATCAGATGTATATGAAATTAAAATAGGACGGGATGAACCCTCTTCGAACAAAAAAATAATTCTGAAAATCCGTTCATATATGACGGAGTTATGCCCGAACATACATAAAAAAAAACATCCGAATTGATAACTTCCTTCTTTTTGAAGTCGGTTAAAAATGAACTCATCAAGATTTTTTTAAAGTTATTTAATTAAAATTGCAAAACAATCAATTTCAATAAAATTCTAATGCTGTAACATAGGTTAAATTGTGTGACCGGACTTGCTACGAGTGTAATAGGACAGTAAGCGTTTAAGTAATTCCTCGAGATATTTTGATATTGTCAAGTCATACTCGTAAAATAAAGTAAGACTACAGTTAATATTATCATGGCAACTTTAATTTCAATTTTGTGAAATTTAAATTTTGATTATTAGTATTTTTCCATTTCATAAAAAGTTTAATTTTCTTCTGTACGTAACTATCATCAGCCTTTAACTATTATATTATCTATCGTGGGCGTAAAATGAAAAACTTGAATAATTACGCTTGTTTTAACAATTTCAAAAGCCAACATTTTAATAGCCAAAACAACATCCATTAAAAGCTACCTCTTGGGTAAGGTCAGCAAGTATATTTGAAACAAAAATTTTATATTTATAAGGTGCTTTAGGAAGTATAATTAAAGTTCTATTTCAGACTATACAAAGGACACGTTAAAAAGTATATTTAAAACAGTGATCCTGTTAACATTAACATTTTTTAAATTAGCACAAACCATCAAGAGTATTTATAGACAACTTTTCCATGATACGAAACGTCACTAACGAAGTTATTTTCATATTTAAGAAGTGATTCCGTTACTCATTTAGATGGCTTTTAATATATACAACACCGTAACTGTGATTTGCATGTCTATTAGAAGTGCGATGATGTTATATGAACCTTCTAAATTTAATAGTAATTCTCTTCTAATAGGATTATTCATTAAAGTCATTTATCAATGGTTTTATATTATGTATAGTTTTGTAGACACTTACGGTACGGCTGGTCCACAAGTTGAAAGCCGCTCAACGTGCTATGGAAAGAGCGGCGTTTCTCTAAGGGATCGCATCAGGAATGAGGTGATTCGGCAGAGAACCAAGGTGACCGACATAGCCTACCGGATTAGCAAGCTGAAGTGGCAGTGGGCTGGCCATATTAGCCGCAGAACCGACAACCGTTGGGAAAACGAGTTTTTGAGTGGAGACCGCGTCTCGGCAAACTTAGTATAGAACGCCCACAGGCCAGGTGGAGTGACAATTTGCGCAAGATGGCTGGCAGGAGCTGGATGCGAGAAGCCCAGAATCGATCTAAATGGCGTGCAATGAGAGAGGCCTATGTCCAGCAGTGGACTGCGATAGGCTGATGATGATGATAGTTTTGTGCCTTCCTCTATATTCTTCTCGTCGAATAACCCAATCATTGGATTTTTACCTGACATTTACCTGTCATTTTTACAGCAGTTAGTGTTTTAGAAATTAGTCTATGCCTTGGTTGTTAAAGTACTCATTTTGTGTTACTTGTTTCCGCTATAAATAACACAGCATAAATTTATTTATTGTCTTACACACGATTGGTTTAAAATGTTATGTATACCTATGAATTTTAAGTCATACAATTTATTCAAACTACGTTCTCTGGCTTTTATTAGTAAGGCAGTGATTACTGTATTTCTTATCATGAAAAATATCATCATGTTCAGCAGATGTTCTTCCACGCAGTCAAATAGTCACGCTCGTAAGACACGATGTTAGAATATTATCTACATTAATATTCCTTTCAATTTTTTTATCGGTACATTTAATAACTAGGTATACTATTTAAGTTGAAAACCTTATACATAGCTCGACGAAAGAGACAGTTGAAACCAATGCTTAGTTAAGACTCGCCGTGAGGAGCCACATCTTTATTTCCATAAGATTTTAGAAGAAATTATATAATATAATAAAATACATAATTTAAAACTATATAAAATTAAACAATAAAGTCTCAGAGAATCTGGTAGTCTCTGAGACTTTATTGTTTAATTTTATATAGTTTTAAATTATGTATTTTTTTTCATCGTTGTTAGCTACTATTGACCTTGGAGGATTAAAGATTTTTAATCCTCCCTTATCTCACTACAGTGCGTCGTGTAGTGTATCGCAATGTAATTCCATTAGAAAAATAATACGGTAGAGATAACTAACACGTTGTATTATTTCCACTAGGACGCCGACCTTACTGCTGTTACACGTGCGCTGAGTGATGGAGTGACACGTACGTTCCCGCTCGCCCGCTACACCCCCGTGTCTCCGAGGGAGAAACTCAAGTCCCTGCTGGCTGAACACATGCCGCGCTCTCTCTACGAAGGCCTCTACACTGATTAAATTAATAATGTGCTCAACATATCACCCAAGGAATACCTTGCCTAACTCGTCATTAATCTTTTATCCGATGACTAGAATATCGCTTAATTGATCAAACATGTGTTGAGTTATAAATAAAAACCCAATCTGAAAGGATGGATTGGTTTAGTCTATTTTAGGGTTGATACTTTAGGTGTTGTTAAAATTAATGAAAAAGAGTAATATGATAACGAGTTAACTGTAAAAAATATTCTTGAAATTACCTCCCTTTGCGAAGTTTTTATAAAAAAATTATAAAAACGCAACTAAAACAGATTTCAACATCAAATCACAAATCTAATATCCAAAAGCACCGCATGTGATTTTGTCGTACTAAAGACGGTGTACCTTGAGCTTCAAAAATAGAACTAATTCACATTAAACTAACATCATAAATAGAACCAATATTGAGTGTTAAGTTTCCAAAGTAGACAGCATCTGTCAAAACTTAGCCCATCACTTTTAACATAAGATATTACGAAAGATTTAAGAGTAGAGTTATGACATCGATATTTTAATAGCATGAGTAGAAAAGTCATTTCACTTTACGTTTACGTTACACTTTGAGTTTTTTTAACTAAAAATGTAGGTGTTTTCCGAAGCCATTTTCACAACATGAAAATTAACGACAATTTAGTGTTCGGAGGACAGTTAAAACCAATAGACAGTATTTGCCATTTATTCGACATATATTTTATTTTGCTGATCGTACCTATCATGAAAATGCGATTTAGTTAAGCCTTGTTTTCTAACGACTGAATTGTTCTACAAAGGAATAGATACTTATATTCACGGTGGGTGGATATTTTAACTAAATAGTCTTATCACATTTCAGTAAGTAAACACAAAGATTAAAAGGTAAGCTTTTGTTCTAAATGAATAAACATGATAAGATTACCACAAAGTGTAAATAAGACATTATTAGCAAATGTACAAAATCCATATGAGATCTACCATTTAGAGACATCATGAAACGATTAATTCTTTCGAAATTTGATATAAAAACCATTCAATATATAACTGACTTTAATTTATAAGCGATGATCTAGTTTATTGCATACTAATTTAAATATTCATTGTAAAACTGTGCAAACAGTTAGGCACTAGATAATTACGATTTCTAATTTTAACTGGGTCAAGTTTAAATACAAGAGTGTTTTGACTTTAATTTGAGACCCCAACATTTCAAAAATTGATTTTGTATACTTCTAATAACAACGACACAGGAGTTTCTGTATCGATTCATATACCACTCAATTATTATATAAATACGGTAACATAATAAATTAGTTGTTCTGTGTGAAGTAAGTGTTTAGGTTTAAACTCAATTTAGAGAGAATCGTAACAATTTAAACATTAAAACTGTATCAATATATTAAAAATATTTATTATAATTAAAAATATTTTACAGTCCTGTATTTTACACAAATGTGACTTCGAAAAAAATGTTAGATAAAGTCGCACTGTCAACGTATTTGGCCATACAAAATAACAACCTTCTCGGGTTCATTTTGACACGAGAAACATTACGTTCTGCTACTGCTCTCGAATGCCTCTCTCTTGTTACACTTAATATTGAGCTACTCGTAATCTGTAAAAGAGAAAAACGTTAAAAATATAGCAAGTGTCTCGCATATGTATTTGTTGCTAGGAGCTACATAATTAATCATTCTACGAGATTGCCAATGTATTTTTAAAACTCGATGAATAGAAAAGTAACTACATATATATCTTAGTGCTGTGGTCAGCTTGGCCTGATTATTTGTTGGCGCTCTATCAAATCTATTAATCGCTCATGTTGGCGGCCCGTTCAAGAATTAAATGTGTTATTCAGACTAAAAACTCGTGTACGCATATAAGCATGTAATCTTGAATGGGAGGTTTCTAAACCTTATTTTTTAATTAACTTTTTTACTAGTCATGTGTATTTATAAGTGTAGACAGTTTGTAAGATACTTAATACGTCATTTATAATTGTATTCGTGTTCTGAGTCACCGATATCAGCTTCAAAACTTATAACCCCTTAGTGTTTGGCTGTAGTTACACATTAAGTATTTCAAACCATCATTTATATATATAGATATATTAAAAATTGCTTTAGATGCATGTTTTTGTATTTTGTTAAAAATGCAGCCAGTCTTTAATCATAGAAGAACCCAGTAAGTAAACTCTTATAAATACTTTCACCAACCACTAGCTGCAATTTTGAAGTGCATTTAAGTGCCACGTATAGAGACGTTAATCAGTTATTATTTAGTTTTATTATAGTTCAATCGTGTGTGAGATAATTTTATAAAATGTATTCTTATTAAAGTGAAAAACAAATGCAAGGTTGTTTTATTTCTAGTAAGAAAACCTTTAGCAATAGCTAACATGAATTACTTTAAAATATCCTATTATTACTATCAAATACTTTAAAATACTTTACCAATACTAGTTACAATACAAACAATAGTTCTAAAATATTTTTCTCCTGTCTTCAATTAAAAATAATACAGTTTATGTTAAATAATAATTACTTCAGACCAAATTACCAGAAAGGGTTCATGCCCGGAATATCTGGATGTCTGGAACATAACTTATTATATTAGTCAAGCCGATCGAGCCGATTGGAGATGTTTGGGCTATCGACGATTCGAGTCGGTCTTCGTTGGATACGGTCCAGAATTAGAAGCTGGTACTGAGGTGCCCCTGCAAAGAGATGAGAACAGTATTCCATATGCGGCCACATTTGCGCCTTATAGAGCTGAAGGCGGTGGGCTGGAGTGAAATACTGCCTCGATCTGTTCAGCACACCGAGCTTCTTCGAGGCCAACGAAGCAACTTCGCTCGATATGTCGATACCTAGGATTCCGATACTGGCTGAGGCATTTAGGGAGGTGCTCTCAAACCGAGGTGATACATGGTATCTTCTTTGCGGTGAACGCACAGACCTGTGTCTTTTTTGGGTTGAACTGTACTAGATTTAGTCGGCCCCAATCTGAAACCTCCGCTAAGGAAGTTTCAATTTCAGACACAAGTTTGTTTCGACTCTCGATGACGGTTTCCCGAGAAATATAATTATAAATAAAGTAATATAATTATAAAAAAAATATAATATAATTTTAACTCTTCCTTCCTTTAACTCCAAATTTAAACTTTCAATTAACTCTCCCCAATCAAAGCAACCTAGTAAGGTGGGGAAAAGTTACAGGAAAGGCTTGTACGATGTGCAGTGCGGAAATAGGTACAACCAGGCACTTACTAACAGGTTGTAAGGCGCTATTAGACTGGGGTCATTATTCACTTCGCCATGATAGGGTATCACAAATCATACACGAAGCTATAAGTTTATCATTGTCGAGAGCGAACAAAAGGAATAACAAAAAACATAAGAACTAACATCAAGTTAAAGGAAAGCTCAACAAAAAATACTTCACAAAAGCCGTACTCAATTATAAATACTGCCAGTGACTGGACATTATTAGTGGACATGGACACGTACGAAAATCATTACAGAATACCGGAGGATATCTGTGCCTCGGCGTTCAGACTAGACATATTTTTCTATGCAATGTCAATTATGCGTATAGCACTAGTAAAACTCACTGTGCACAAATTATCTATAACCTGCTTAAAGACCTTGGATTACCAAGAACTTCAGTAAGCTTAAGGGCATAAGAAAAGTCTTGAATGGTATTGCTAGGCTCGTATCAAATATAGTTAGGTAGAGGGGGTAACACAGCAGACAGATGAGGTAAGCGCTGACGCATTGCAAGAAGTACTCCCTAAACCTATTTCTGGGTCGCCATTCCCAGACGCTGTCGAAGTCGAATGTGTTGCCCCATCTATCACGCGATGGACCCGGCACTGGCACGGTGGATCCATGTAACGCTAAGGTCTTAATATTTTAAAATTGAACACAAACTACTATAAACACTACAAGAACTGTAATTTCTTGGGACCTAAAAACTTGACCATTATAATAGTAATTTGTTTTCTCAAGCGAGCTTGTGTACTTATCAAAGAACGTGTTTATATAGATTATATGTTTATTGTATGCTGTAGGCAATTATGCCTATCTTACACGTTAAGCATTTACAGTGCCCGACATCAACTTCAGCCCAGGCTCCAGGCCAGGTATGATACCCGTTCCTCCACAAAGTGTTTGGGAGCTATAAAAGTCGAGAAATAAGCCAACAGTGTAGGTCATTGCTGGCTTATTGGTCTCCTTAACCTTAACCATAGTTAACTTTTCAGAGGAAATGTGGCATATTGCCTTAATTTATTATGTATAACTGAATTTTATATCTATCACTAGCATTTACGGATAATTATGACGCACGGAATTAGGTCAGTATAAAAGATATTGCATGATAGTTTTAGCAGTCTTTTAATTATACTACAAGATGGAAACAAGTAAATATGTACATACCTATTTTTACAAATACACCGGGTTTCTCTGCTAAACAAACAACATTTCAATACATCCCCGTAGCTAAGCAAATATTCATCTAACACTTAGAGGAAGGATATCACAATGCGTATTAGTAGTATTTTATAATGTATTGATGATTCTAAAACGAATTACATGTTAACCAAAGAAAATTAAATTCTGCATACATTCTTGGCTCATTAACAAACAGACTTTAAGGGATGTAATATCATTATATCGGGAGTTAGGCTGTGCCTGGTAAAATTATTTCTATTTACAGTAAAAATAATAAGTTGGCCACAGAAAACGATTTTAAAAGGATTCGAGATTTTTAAATCTCTTAGCAAATACTTAACGTCAAAGTGTAGATTAAATGTAAAAGGTAAAGCCTTTAATCTACACTTCATAATTGCTCACCATTTAAGATGGTGGATTTAATTAAAGGAAAAAAGATAAATTACTAGGTGTATTTACTTTTGAACTTTAATTTATGACAGAATTAATTACTTTTGTGAATCAATTCTGAAAAGATTCGGTTATAATCTGTCCGGTCGCTTACATTATTTT